CGCGAAGCCCTGCCACCGCTCGCGCGCGCCCCATGGCCCCCACTTCGGGGGGAACGAGAGGGGGGGATAAGCAGAGGGCAGGGCAGAGAGAATCGGCTCACGCAGCTGCGTTGCCCCGGCGCCTCCCGGCGCCCGGAGGCGCCCAGGTGTGGAGGAACGGGCCCGGCGGCGGGGCCGAAACCAGCTGCACGCGGCAGATTTCGTGACCCCACCCGTTCCCTAATCCCCCCCCTTTCGTTCGGCCCGGCAGTTTTTTCTCTTTGGCGGCGCGCAGAGAAGGGGGGGGAGGGGGGGGGGAAGGCCTCCCAGCAGGAGGCTGCTCCTCGGAGGGCGCGGGCCGCACGTCTGCAGCGCAGGCCCGCGCCCTCCCGAGAGGAGCAGGGGCGCTCCCAGGAGGCCGCCCGCCCCCCCCCCCCCCAAGGTAATACTCCTTCGAAACGTGGCCGAATGCTGCAGCGCTGCTCGATCCGGACCGCTCCGTGAGGGCCCCGGGGGCCCCGCAGCGGGGGGCTCTGTGTCCTTAGGGGAACGAAAACGTGACATAACCATAACGACTCGGAGGTCCGCGCGGATTCCTCGGATCGGCGCTGGGGCCCCCTCCCTGGCGCGCGGAGCGCGCCAGGGGCGGCGCCGGAGGCGCCGCCGGGGTGCCCCAGCGCCGATCCGAGAAATCCGCGCGGACCTCCGAGATGTTATGTTTATGCCACTTTTTCCCTGACTTTCTAGGAGTGCTGAAAGATAGCACGCGACTTAAAAACCCATCCCAGAGCTATTCTATACGTCTTGGTTCTAGGCTGTCTCGTCTCGCTTTTCCGGTTTTTAGGGGCCCCGTGCTAAAAAATAGCTCTCTGGAGGGTCCGGGTCTTCGTTCCCCTATATAGTTCCGAGCGCCCCGTGCGGGCAGAGCTGCGGCGCCGGGACCCCGGGGCCCCCGGCGGGAGGAGGAGGAGGAGGACCCGCGGCGGCCTCCAGCGCCCCGACGCACGCCACCGTGTCCACGCTGCTGGGGTTCTCCACGCCCCGCGCCCTCTTCGCCGGCGGCCCCGGCGGCGGCGTCCTCGGCGGGGGGGGCTGGCCCGCGGGGTAGGCGTGCCCGCCCTTGCCGTAGCCGTCCCCGCCCTTGCCGTAGCCGTCCCCGCCGGAGCCCCACCTGTGGGGGCACAAAACCCAGACGCCCTCGAGTAATGAAAAAATCACGACGGGAGGTTTTTCATTATTTTTGGCCTCTGGGAGCCCCTACCGGCCCTCGGGACCGTCAAAAAACGACTCAGGACGAAAAACCGGTCCCGGGGAATGGGTCGAGACCTCGGGGGGTCGACGTCATGAAAAAATCATGACGTCGGGGGTCTGGGAACGTGGCACAAGCAGAAGAACTCGGAGGTCCGCGCGGATCTCTCGGATCGGCGCTGGGGCCCCCCGGCGGCGCCTCCGGCGCCGCCCCTGGCGCGCTCCGCGCGCCAGGGAGGGGGGGCCAGCGCCGATCCGAGAAATCCGCGCGGACCTCCGAGTTTTTACCCTGACCTTCCAGAGAACTATTTCTTAGGAAGGGAGGCCTAAAAGCCCAAAACAACGAAACGAGACAGCCTAAAGCCAAGACGTAGAATGGCTCTGGGATAGGTTTTTAAGTCGCGTGCTATCTTTTAGCCCTCCTGGAAGGTCAGGGTATGTTTGTGTCCCTGTTCGTGCCCCTGCCACCCGCCCTTCGCGGGGCTGCCCATGCTGCTCTTGGCCCACTTGGCGGGGACGTTGTTCTCCTGCAGGTGGCTCTGCCCTCTTGGCTCGGCTCGGCGGCGAGCCCCGGGAGAGGGGGGGTGAGGGAGGGAGGGAGGGGCGGGCCGCCTCGGAGGACTCGGAGGTCCCCGCGGGCCTTCTCTGAGAGGGCAGAGGGCGACATCTGAAGCGCCGCTTCGATGGACTTTCGAGGCGTGCATCTGCAAAGGGTGAATCACAAGACGGATTTTTGTGGTTGCGAGGTGCAAGAGCCCAAATGGATTTCGCCCCGAGCCCTCCGCCAAACGAAAACGCGTCGGTCTCTCTGAAACGTCCCCGAAGGCACAGAACACTTCTCAGAAGGCGCGAGGGCTTCTGAGAAGACCCGCCGCCTTCTGAGAGGGCCTTCTCCTTCCCGCCCTCCCCCCCCCCTCGCTTGCCGCCGATCGACCGTCGCGGGCCCCATGGGGGGGGAGGATTCGGACGTTTCTGTCCCTTGCCGGGCCTCCGCCGGCCTCTGGGGGCCTGCGGGTACCTCCAGGGGTCGGGATTCGGGGCTGCAGAACAGCTTACCAGTCTCTCCTGCGCGGCCGCAATCGCCGCGGATGCGCACTCCGTGGAGGCGAACTTGACGAACCCGCCGCCCATCTTCTGATTGTGCTTGAAAGTTAGGAAGCCATCGAGGGAACTGAAGAAGACCTCCAGGGACTGCTCGTCGTAGCCGAGCTCGTGGGCCCCAATGCAGACCAGGGTGTCCACCTGGGGAGGGACACCCCCGCCAAACCTCCAACGCCTGCTCGGTGCCCTCCTGACTGCCGCTCCGCGATCTGCCGCCCACCCCCGATGGGAGGACGCTGGAGCCAAGGGGCCCAGACAAGAGCATGATGGGGGTGAAGACTCGCCCCGCCTCCTCGCCGCACCGGCCCCAGAGACCCCAGGAGCCAGAGGCCCCCCCCCCCCCGCATGTGCTTTCGTCGATCCACCCGTGGTCCTCTGGCGCGTGCGCACCACGTCCACGGATCGGCGAAGCCCCCCCCCCGGAACCATGAGGCCAGCGTTAGGTCGGGCATGTCCCCCTACAGGCGGACTTTGGGCGAAAATGATACAAAATCCTACAAAAAAGGTTCAAACATACTCGAACAATGCTTGAACAATCGTCCCCAGACTACTGTTTGACCATTTTTGAACTTTCCCCCTGTAGAGGACACGACTCGCGACGATCTCGCATGGACGCGGGACCCGTCGCTAATACACGCGCCTTACTCCATGGTTGTTGCGCTGCCCCGATCCTCCTCGTCCTCACTGTCGACGTCCTCCCCGCAGCCCTGGAGCCGCCCAGAACTCTCGATGAAGCCCCCTTGCATAGTTACGGCGGGTTCGCGTCGTGTCGGCCCCGACGTTGGTCTCTGACACCGCAGGGATCGTTCAACCTTGAACGATCGGCCGTTTCCGAAACGTCCAAATCGTTCCACATCGAACGATTCTGGGTCGCCCGCGGCTTTCAAAGTTGAACGCCGCGGGCGGGGTCGCCGCCGGCCAACACGACACGAACCTACCGTAGGGCATCCCAGGTTCTCTTTGTCCTGCCACTCCTCCTCGCCCTCCCTGTCGACAAAGGCGCCTCCCCCCACCAGACCCCCTTGCGACCGTCGGCGACGGCAACGACGACGCCCCCGACGACATCGGCGAAAACGAAAGCGACGAAGGCGGCGACAACTCGACGACGACGACGACGACGACGACGACGACGACGACGACGACGACGACGACGACGACGACGGGGGCGCCGACGACGCCCCTCGACAACGACGACAATGACGGCGACGACCACGAAGACGACGACAACGACGACAACAACGACGACGACGACGCCGACGATGACGACGACAACGACGACGACGACCACGACCACGACCACGACGACGACGGCTGTGGCGACGACGACGACGACGACGACGGCGACGGCGACGACTGCAGCGACGACGACGTCGACGGCGCCAGCGCCGACAACGCCTCCGACGACCATGGCGGCAGCGGCGACACACCCGACGGCAACGACGATGCCCGCCTCGCCAGGGTTGGCGGCGTGCGGCATCGACTCCTCCCTGGGCCTCTTGGAGGGCTGGCTCCAGGACGAGGCGTGGCCGTAGCCCCCCTGCCCATAGCCCCCCGCAGGCGGGGCTACCCGCCGGGGCGGCCTGAGTGTCCGCCGACGATCGCGGATGACGACGACGACGACGATGCCGACGACGATGCCGACGACGATGCCGACGACGACGACGACCACGACGACGACGACGACGACGACGATGCCGACGACGACGACGATGCCGCCGACGACGGCCACGACGGCGACGACGACGACGACGACCCGCCCGGTCTGTAGGTCCACCACATGATCGCGGGCACCGCGATGGTCCGATCTCAGCAGCCAGGAGATCGAGGCGGAGGCTTCCTCACGAGATCGGCCTCCCAGGGCCGTTGTCAGGACCAGGCCGGCATCGAGGAACGATCCGTGGCGAACAACTTTCTGAGGCAACTCATGGGAGCCTCCCATACCATCTTGTTGGCTCTTGCGAATCGACGCTGGTCGACGCCAGTCGAAACTATTGTGACGCTGAATCGACGCAAATCGACGCCCACTGGCGCTGATCGACGCCATATAGGCGCTATATCGTCGACTGTCCAACGCTAATCGGCGCTAGTGTATTCTGAAGACGGAACAGCGAGGGTACACAAGGCTCCCATGATTTGCGACCCTAAAACAAAGGTCCCCCGGGGAAGCTGTCGAGAAGACAAGGCACTGACGAGCTCTTGGCGTCGGAGGTCGGGGGTCGTGCTCTTGAGGGTGTGTTCGGAAGCAGAACAAATTCAAGCCAGCATGGATCCAAAATAAAAGCAGGATGCTCTTGCACTCCCGATGAATAACGTATGTGGTGCCACATGTGTGTGGTGCAGCATGTTGGGCGCAGTCTACGTGTTGCATCATGTACGGTGAAGTCGAAGTAGTGCAGTCTACGTGATGCAATATGTGGGGGGCAATCTGTGCGGTGTAGTCTAGTTGGAAGAACTCGGGGTCGCCAACTCCACTGGTCGAGCAAATAGCCAACCAATGCACATATCCCACACGCCCACCAGCAAAACTCCCCTGGTGCAATGACGCGAGGATCCTTTCCGTGAAGATCCATGACTCGGGCGAGCGAGCGATGATGACGATGATATTGATGCTGCTGCTGCTGATGATCGTGCTGTTGATGACGATGACGACGGTTGCGAAAGTGGTGATGGCAATGATGATGATGATGATGATGAAGACAACGGTCGTGACGATGATGACGATGACGATGACGATGACGATGACGATGATGATGACGATGATGATGATGATGATGATGATGATGATGATGATGATGTTGATGATGATGATGACGACGACGACGTTAGTGTTCGTGATGAAGATGATGGTGATGATATGGCAGGTCTCACTCTCCCTGCGCGGGCACAGAAATCTAGAATGTAAGACTGCTGGTCGACGTTGTCTACACAACATGTGAACTCGCTGATGTTGTTACGATGTGTCATGTGCGCCTGTGTGTCCCACAGAGAATTACCGAGTGAAGATGCATGGGGAATGCACTTGGGAAATCAAAGCGAGTGCTCCACATATATGTAGTTGACAGGGGTGAGAGGGGGCAATGAGAGGACGGGCTGGGAAATAAGCATTTATTGTTTCAATGTGGGCCAGCTTGGGCTCCAAAGCAGTAGCTAGTGCACTGTGGCTCTGTAGGCTATGTGGGGCGAGCTATGTGGTAGAAGCCTCCTCCTCCTCCTCCTTCTTCTCTTCCTCCCGCCCTCCTCCCTCCGATCACCGTCTCCTCAGAACCCATCTGGAAGCCCGCAATGGGTACGGAAACACATGGGCCCGATGCCCAACAACACATGTTGCCCAAAACCGACCGCGGCCGCTGTTTGGCCGCGACCTGTTCTCTCAGAAGGGCCTTGCCCGCGGTGGCACCGACAACGAGTCCTGCTCAAATGGGCAGGAATTTTTGTCGGTCTTCATCAGGGTGAAGGGGCGTAACAATCATTCATTGTCCCCGAATGCGTGGCAGAAGTAGCGTTCCGTCCGGTTGCTTGCTGTTGAGATCTCATGCCTAAAGAATCGGAAATTGGGGGGTTAGATCGCAGTGGAACGGAGGCCCCCCACCGGGAAATCGATTGCGGTTTGGTGTTCGTGTCTTGCGTGCGGGCGAGGCCAAGCTGCGTGTGAGCGCGAGAGGAATGGCCCCGCCGTCGCTAGGGCGATTCGGATGCAGTGGACCGCCCCTCCGCCCCCAGTGGGCGCGCGGTGGCCCGGGGTGTCCCGCCGTGGTGACCCGTTGGTTTCCCGTTTGTGTCCCGTCGTCGGTGTTCCGTCGGCGGTGGGCCGGCGGTGGCCGGGGGTGTCCCGCCCTGGTACCAATAGTGGAGGCGATCGGGAAATCGATGATGCGATCGCTGGAATCACAGACATGCGACGTCCTGATTGTTTCAATACGCGGTCCCTGGATCAGCGCCCCTCAAACGGGGACTCCACAAACGGGTACTTTGGCCAGTGACCCAGCGAACCCAACCCTTCCCGATGTGGGCAAAGCTGCAATGCAAGAGAAAGGCCCTAAAGTGGCAACTTTCGGCAAAAATTCAAAGTACCGTTAGTAAGTACCCGTTACGGTGCCGTTGACTGGAAGTCCAGACCCGTTCCCCGGGACAGGTTTCTCGTCCTGGGTTGTTTTCAGACGGTCGCGAGGCCCGGCGAAGGTCCCCCGAGGCCGAAAAAAAATAGCCAAAACCTCCCGTCCTGATTCGTGCTGCGACGCGGGCATGCCTGGAATGGAAGGGATGCTGAGATCCAAAGTGAGATCGACAGTGAGGTTGATTGGGGCATTGGTGGTGCTCGCGCTGTCGGATGGGCAGGGAGGCGACGTCCCCTGGGTCGTGCAGGTCTCGCGCGGGCAGGCGGTCTCCCCTGGCCAGGGGCGAGCACCGCGGGGTCGTCGCTGAATCCACTGGCGCTGACCTGGTCGCGTCGTAAAAGAAATCAGGGCGGCAAGTGTTTCTCTCTATCTTCGACCCCTGGTGGCCCTCGCCAGCCCCCAGGAGCGTCACCTCCTCCTCCTCCTGCCCCCCTCTCCTCCTCCTCATCCTCCTCCTCCCCCTCCCCCTCCTCGTCCTCCTCCTCCTCCTCCTCCTCCTCCTGGTGGCCCCCGCCAGCCCCCGGGACGAGAAACCGGTCCTGGGGACAGGGTCGGGACTTCCAGGGACCGCGCAATGACAAAAATCAGGACGTCGCATGTCTGGGACGACTGGCCGTGGGGTCGATGGTGGGATCAACTGAGCGAGATCGGAAGCGGGGGGCGATCGTGACGTTACATCGCAGCGCAACGTCGTCATCACGCGTCGTTGCTAACATCGAAAGCGCGTCACAAGCATCGTCATCATCACACCCATCGCAATTTCCAGCAGTTGGTTTTCCGCCCGCCCCACCCACCCACCCCCTCATCACCCGAAGGGTGGTCGTATAGGTAAATATTGTAGTGGCCTTCGGCCAGTGCCGCCGATCCGGGTCGCTCGGTGTTATTCTCCAGACGCAGACATGTGGTGCGAGCGAGGGAGGCGACGCAAGGACGCCCTCTTGGGGCGTTTTTTCGCCATCTTAGGAGCCTGTCAGGGCGTCGTGGGGGCTTCTTGGGGGCTTTTGGGGGACCTCTAGGGGGCTCTTGGGGCCTCCTGGGGGCCTGGTCGTATAGGTAAATATTGTTGCTATCCCCCTTATGTTGCCCATTATTTGATCCATCGAAGTGCCCCTCTCGGGGCTCCCGGTCTAGTACAAGAGAAGGCTTTGGGCCTCAGACTGGGTTGTTGGCCCGCGGTGTACCAAAGCAGCGGCTCCCGCCTTGTACTTCCCCGCGCTGTATTGCGACATCTGGTTTTCGCTAGAGGCCTCCTTGCAAATTTGAATGAAACCGCGCTCTCGCCTGAAACATCCTCACACATGATTCACGAATCACTTCCTCGGCGCTCTGGACCCCCTTCTTGCTAAGCCCTCTTGCTGACCCCTTTCGTTCCCCATCTCTCCTTACCTCTTGCCTCCTTCCCTCCTCCCCCCCTTCCCCCACCCCTCTTCCTCCTCGCTCTCCACCTACTCAATCATTCATGTTCTTCCGGCTTCAGGGGCTGCGCCACGAACGCGTGACAGAAAAGAAGGTATCACCCCAAAGGGGGCACGATCAAAGACGAGGAGGGTTGGTATCGAGGGTTTGGGAAATACATGTTGGTGGACACGCGGGCCTATGGGAACGATCCTTGTTAAAATGAATGATGTTACATTCGCATGCCAAAACAATGTAACCCAACATGGATTTCGAACAATCTACGGTGCGCAACAAACGAGATACAACCTGCGCGGTGCATTCGATGTTGTGCACTGTATGTGATGCAACCTGTGGTTGAAAATCAATATATGCGGTGCATTCCACGTAGTGCAGTCTACGTGGAGCAAACCGGGTGGGCCAATCTACCTGGTGCAATCTAGCCAGTGCAATACAATCCGTTCCAGACAGTCTATGTGGAGCAGCTGATGTGGGGCAATCCACGTGTAGCGATCAACGTTGTGAAGCTAATGTGGCGCAATAAATGTGATGCCATCTAGGTGCTGCAATCAATTTTGGAAAAACTTTGAGTTATCACATCTTTTGCTCGCGCAAACATCCCACCAACCCACCCGCAACTTGGTTTGCAAAGCCAATGCGGTGTGCACGCGCGCATTGGCGTTCGAACGATTTCGACGTGCGAGCGCGAGATGCACACTTGGTAGCATCTGATGAACCCGTTGAAAGACCTGTGGTTTTCAAGAACTCGCAAGAGCGCGAACGCATGATGCTCTGAAAATTCCGGGTGCGAAAACATTGGTTGTTTATATGCTCCTGGGCCACTCGCATTGGCCATCCTTGCGGGCCCTCTTGTTGTTGAAAGACTTCGGCATCCGCGCGCGACGGCGCGCGCGTGTGCACGTCGCAATTTGCTTTAGCAGCAGATTTCAGAACAGGGATGCTTTGTGATAAGCCAATACGCGCGCACCGTATCTTTTGATACAGTGAGGGGGGAAGCGGTAAAAGACTGCCTGGGATGGTATGAATTCATGTTTCGGACCGGCGAAAGGGCAACATCGCATGCAAATGGCAATGCGAGAAAACTGACCGTGAATCCCGGGGGGAGGGAGGGAGGTTGATCCGAATACTCTTCAGCGTCGCGCACGCTCGTCTTGAAACATTTGAAAAGATTCGATGGTTGAGGGCGGGCAGTTTTCAAACTGTGGCTCTCGTCTTAGTGCCGCGCACGCTTGTCTTGAACATCTGGAAGCGCTTCACGAATTGAGAGGGGCTCCTTTCCACAATGAAGCTTTCACCTTAGCGCAGCGCGTATTCGATTAACAAATTGAAATGGTTTTACTGATTCGCATGGTTAACGAAACAGGAGCTGAGTCTTGGAACGATTCAATATTGCCAAGGCGCAGCAATAAAGTTGATTCGTGGCGTTGGGATTTCGGTAATGGATTTTGGGCACGCTTCAGGATCTTTTAAGCGGCTATCCCCCAACAGGGCACTTCCCCCTCAGTGGACATGCAACCTTGTAGGGGCATATAGAGGGGGGGCTTGCAGGGAGGGCTTCATAAAACTTCGTATTCGCATCTCCGGCTTGCACTGAGAGCTTATCCATCCCCTGTGCCCCTTCCTTCCATCATTCCTCTCTTCCCCTGGTTTGGGGGCTGCGCCAACTACACGTGGAAGGTAAGGAACATAGCACCCAAAAGGGGTACGATCGAAGGCGAATGGGGCGGGCATCGAGGGTTTGGAAGATACGCTCTGAATTGCGCGCGAGCAGATAGGAGCCCCATTATTAACTTGCGTATTGGTGTTGTAATTGCCGCTGGTGTTGGTGTTGTTGTTGCTGTTGGTAAAGTTGTTTAAGTCGGTGTGGTTGGCGTTGTTGTTGTTGTTGTTGGTGTTGTTGTTGTTGGTGTTGCGATTGGCGTTGCTGCTGTCATTGTAAATCGATCACATCTTGAGCAGAAGTATGGTTGGTCCCCCTCAGGTGCACCTTGTGGTTTCGGTCTTCCAATTAAAATGCTCCTCCTGGGGCTCGCACCCCACCTCTGATACAATAGAAAATCTTGCGCGTCAGATTGAGCCCCTGGCCCCCGGAGTGCAGCAACAACGGCTCCCACATGATACTCCAGCACAATTTGTTCAACATCGCGCTCTCCCGCGGGACTTCCTCACGTGAAGTGTGTCCAGGCACTCGCGAGCTCGCGAGGCACTTCCTCGCAATTTGTTGGGACGCCGCGCCCTCGACGCCCAGGAATCAGGCTCTCGCTCCTGGATTCCCAGATCCCCGACGACATGATTTTTTCATCACGTCGACCCCCGAGGTCTCGACCCGTTCCCCTGGACCGGTTTCTCGTCCTGAGTCGTTTGTTGACGGTCCCGAGGCCCGGTGAGGGCCTCCCGAGGCCGAAAATCCGGAAAAACCTCCCGTCGTGATTTGTTCATTGCCCGAGGGGGTCTGGACTGCCCCACGGGTTGCTCAGAGAAGCGCGCCGTCGCTCGAGTCTGCCGCGCGAGTCGTGCAGACCTCGCGCTGCAGCGGGCCCACCCGCTCGGCCGGGCCAGCGGGGGGGCGCCGCCCGCCCAGCCCCGCCCTTGCCCGGCCCGCCCGCCCCGCCCCGCCCCGGCGCCAACGGCATGGCTCGGCGGTGGACACGCCTCCCTTTCGTGAAGCACCCTCTGGTGAGGACGGCCTCTAGGACCGAAACCGACGGACCTGGACCCGCAAAAGCGACGGCCGCGACGCCCTCCCGCGGACCGAAAACGGCCGATCCGCCAATGGACGTGTCAGGGTAGGAGGTCCATCAGCCTCCGGATGTCGCAGGTGAGGAGGATAGCCCCCAAGGGGTAGACGAGTAAGTCGGGCATGTCCCTCTACAGGCAGATATTCGACGAAAAAATTTGAATCTTCAAAATATGCTCAAAAATCATCAAACATACCAGAAATCCTCCCCATATTACGTTTTGACGATTTTTGAATATTCCCCCGAGGGAGGGACAGGCCCGACTTAAGGGTACACGATCGAAGACGAAGAAGGCGGGTATCGAGGGATTGGTGGGATATACGTGTTGGATGACACGCGCGCAGATCAGAGCCGAGCGAACGTTTGTTATCTCATTATTGTTCCTTTTGCGCTGTCGTCGTCCTCGCCCGCGACTCGCTCGCGATCCACCAACGACCCAACCCGCGCCCCACCCCGCGACCCACCCGCGACCCACCCCGCGCCCGCCCCCTTACCCCTGTTCGCAGAGGCGGGGCGCTGCGTACCCTTTCTCTGCCGGGCGGGTGGTACTGGGGGGGGGGGGGACCTGCATCGGGGTGGTGGAGAAAAGGGCCCGGAAGGAGCCCTTGAGGGCCCCTTCTGGAAGCCAGCAGGGGCCCCAAAGGGACCTCCTGCACAGGGCCACTGCGGGGCCCCTTTCTTCACCCCCTCTTCAAGTCGCCCCCCATTATGAGCATCGTGTTTATCCGACCCCCGCCCCCAGCGGCGCGGCCTGGGCCCACTGGCCGATTCGCCTCCCTAGGTGGGGATATAGGGGCCGTTCCCTTCGGGCTTCGAGGGGGTGTCTCCCCAACTGGGGAGGCAGTTTGGTGGGGGTCTCGGAGGGGATGAGGACGGGAGGAGGAGGAGGAGGAGGAGGAGGAGGAGGAGGAGGAGGAGGAGGAGGAGGAGGAGGAGGAGGAGGAGGAGGAGGAGGGGGAGGAGGAGGAGGAGGAGGAGGAGGAGGAGGAGGAGGAGGAGGAGGAGGGAAGGGGGTCGGCTGCGCGATGCTGACAGCACCACCCGCCAGACGCTCCAGAGGACCCGTGCCGTTCGGACCGAGCCCGGGGCCCGCCGCCCCAGCCCGCGCCAGCGCTGGCGGGCGGGGCGTTCGTCGAGCGCATGTTGCTCCTCGGCGCGGCGAGCGCGCGAAAGGGAGGGGGAGGGGCCAGGTGGAGGCCCGTGGCCGGGGGCGGGGGCGCGGGGAGGGGAAGGAGGGAGGGGGGAAGGGGGGGTGGGGAGGGGGGGGGGGAGGGAGGGGAGGGAGGGGGGGGAGGGACGGGACGGGAGCAGGGAGGGAGAGGAGGGGGGGAGGGAGGAGGGAGGAGGGAGAGCTCAAGGCTTCGAGGCTGGGGAGCGACGCAGTTATCCGTAACGGAGGGAGGGAGGGAGGGAGGGGAGGTGCTGTTGGTGGTGATGCTCCTGTGCGGGCCGAGGAGCTCCAAAGGAGTCCGATATTGGGCCCGATGGGGTGGGCGCGGGGTGGAGGGGGGCGTGGGAGGGAGGGGAGAAGCGGGGAGGGGAGGGGGGGAGGGGAGGGGGGAGCGGGAGGGGGGCGGTGATCGGGCTTCGAGGAGCGCGCCTCTTGAAAAGGGGCCGTGGCCGATGATTGACAGGCTGGGGGAGGCTTGCGCTTCATGGAGAGGGATCCGGCCCAGGTTCTCTTCGCGTGGGCGGCCGGAGCGGGTGCGAGCACCGCAGAGGAAGGCCTGAGCAGGTGAGCATGCGCGCGGAGAGGGTGGGTATCCAACAAGCGTCTCCGTGCTGTCACGTGTTTGGGGCACCAATTGGGCCACAGGTGGGACATCCAGCATGAGGACAGCGGACTCTTGGCGCCTGAAAGCACGTGCGCGGGAGGGGGGTCTCCAACATGCCTCTACCGCCTGCGCAGTTGGCATGTGGTTTCAAGTGTTTTCGGCGCCACAGTCAACATGTAGGCGGCGGATTCTACACGCATCAAAGTACGTGTGCCGATGGGTGGGGTCCAACATGCGTCTGGCGCCTGCGCATTTGGCACATCGTTTCACATTCTCTCGACGCCAGAGCGGCCACAGGTGGGGCAGCCAACATGTGGACGGCACATTCGTTGCGTCAGCATGCGCCTGCGGAACGGGGGGCAAAACATGCATCGGGCGCGTCATAATCTGGCATCTGCTTTGATAAGCTCGGCCACGGGTGGGGTATCCAACAGGTGGGCGACGCATTCTTCACGCGTGAAATGTGCGCACGGAGGAGAGGGGGGGGAGGCTCCAGAGGAGGAAGAGGAGGAGAAAAAGGAGGAAGAGGAGGAGAAAAAGGAGGAGGAGGAACAAAAAGGAGGAGAAAAAGGAGGAGGATGTGAGCGAGTGTGTTCAAGAGAAGGATCTGCAGGGGAAGGGACGGGGACGATGAGGAGGAAGCGACGTATGGTAGATCCCATGACTGCGAGAACGATCGGGGTTCCCCAAGGTGGGGCGCCATGAAAAAGAGAGCCGTGCTGAGAGAACTAACGGAGATCTCACCTCCACCTTCCTGTGCGCGCTCTCCCGAGCCGGGCTGATCCGTGAGGGCCTCGCGGCCAAACACACGGCGCGCGAATGCCCACCCGACACGAGGCCCGAAATCTTGCCACGATTCTCGCGACGCCCACATGGCAGGAAAGCAGCAGCAGCAGCAGCAGCAGCAGCAGCAGCAGCACCAGCGTGGGCTTCTTTCACCCCCCCCTCGGGCCCGGGTCCTCGCCATCTGCGCCCGGAGCGGCTCGCCCGGCTGGCTCCTGTCGAACATGTGGCCCGCTATGGCCCCGATCGCCGCCTGGGCGTTCAGGGCGGAGTCGAAGCGGACGAAGAGCATGATGCCCTCGGGGGCAGGGGGCAGTGAGGAGAGGGGACCTACGGCGGGAGGGGAGAGGAGAGGGGAGGGGTAGTGAGGAGAGGAGAGGGGCAGCGAGGGGAGGGGACCTACGGGCGGGAACTCTTGCTTCGCATGCCGCGGCGGCGGCCGTGGCGACACGCCCCTTGCAAGCGGGCAGCGTGTCGCTCCGCTTCGGGGGGGGGGGAGGCTGGGAGAGGCTCGGGACGTGGACTCCTGGGGACCGCAACGATGATAGCGTGCCGCGCCGAGGCGTGGTGAACCAGAACCGGCGGAGCGACACGCCATCCAAAAGCTCGCGGCCGTTCCCCCCTTCAGCTTTTCCTCGAATCATCCACCCTGCTGGCCCCTCGGCTGCTCCGCGCGCCTCTCGACCAGCCGTCCCCTCCGACCCTCGCGCTCCCTCCTGCCTGGAGGAGGCTCGAGGCTGACCCCCGCGGAACCGTCGTCGTCGCCGTCGTCGTCGTCGTCGTCGTCGTCGTCGTCGTCGTCGTCGTCGTCGTCGTTGTCAGGCTCCTCCCCACTCCCTCGAGAGACACGGCTGCCTGCTGCCTGCCTGCTGCCGATCCGCTCTTGCCGCAGCCGTTCCGCTGCCGCTGCGGCTGCTGCGCCGCCTGCTGCGCCGCCACCCGCGCTGCTCCTCCTCCTCCTCCTCCTCCTCCTCCTCCTCCTCCTCCTCCTCCTCCTCCTCCTCCCTCCTCCTCCTCTTCCTTCTCCTCCCTCCTCCTCCTCCTCCTCCTCCTCCTCCTCCTCCTCCTCTTCCTCTTTCTCTTCCTCTTCCTCCTCCTCCACCTCCTCCTCCTCTTCTTTCTCCTCATCGTCATCCTCCTTCTCCTCCTCATCCTCCTATTGCTGCTTGGGTTGTCCGCATGCCCGCTTAGGCGTTCCCAGCCACGCGGAGCCTGCCCCTGTGGTCAGGGGCCCTGCGTGCCGCGTCCTCAGGGCGCCACCTCGCCCAGCTCAGATCCAGCACAGCCCTCACGAGGACCCTCTGGCCTCCCCCGCACGTTCCTTCTCCCCATGTCTATCCATGCTCTTCTTGAATGATTGAATGTGCTCGAATTGTTCTGAATACGACTAGAACCGTTATAATTCGCATTCGTGTTCTTATGTTCACTGTTGTTCATCGGCTGTTGAATGATACTCAAGGTATGCTTTCTCTGAGGTATCTCATCCACCTCCTCGTGCTCCTGTTCTCTCCTCCTCCTCCTTCTCCTCCTCCTCCGTGTCGCGTCACCACACGTGACCGCAGGCCGTTACGGGCGTTTCGCCCTGGAGCTCCTCGACAACCATGACCCTCAACCTTGATAGTTGGAAGAACTTGAAGGATGGAGCCCAGGTGGTTTACAACATGTAAATATTGCCGTAATGCCGCACATGTTCGCTTCAAACAGTTGCAACACCTTCAAGGATTGGGGCCACCACCTTTTCAACATGTGTTTCTCGATCCAGCGCCGCGCGCATTCCTTTCAACTGTTGTGAAGAATTCCAGGACAGAAGCCGGTTCCTTTCAAAATGCGATTCTTGCCTTAACGCCGCGCACATTCATACCACCTCCTAACCTTACCATCCTGCGGCAAAAGTGTTGTTCGTGCACACCGCTCTGACACATACCCTCACCATCCGATGCGGAAAAAAGTCTGCTCACAGCCATACGGCCCAACCCTCAACATCAGATGTAAGCAATTGTTTTTTTACACGGCGCACACTCATACGATCCAGCACCTACCACTTTATGCACAAATAGCCAGTGTACATCCATGCGAACGATTCTCACCATCCTACGCAACATGCAACACCGTGTGTACAGCCATACAGCACCCTTCATCATCTAATGTAAAAAGTTGCATGGCGAACATCAGCCCGACCCTGCCTTCACCATACAATGGAGCAAATGGTGCACACCCGTCCGCACAACTTTCACCATCTGGTGTAATGAACTGCATCTGGCGCGCATATGCTAATCCTCAGCACCGGCCCACCCGCTGGCCCCGAAGAGCCCCTGGGCACAAAAGGCATTCAATAAAAAGCCGGTGACAAATACCGAATACATCGATACGTTGCGGGCACCCCTCGCCGACTCAGATTCTGGACCCAAGCGCTGCCCAGGCTGCCCCAGGTGCTCAAAGACGCTCCAAGACGCCCCCAGGCGCTCCCAGAGCTACAGGCCATCCCCAAGCGCTTCCAGGCTCGCCGTCACCACCAGCAGCAACAGCATCTACATACTCATCTTCATCGCCCTCGTCACCGAAGGAAGGGTCAAGGAACAGATAAATTCAGATCGCAGTCCACAAACGCTTTTCACAATGGGGCTCTCGCTTTGCTGGCGCCGTACACCATCGTTTTACACAGCCACAGAACACATAGAAGGTGGGCCGTTTTCAAAAAAGGTGTCTCGCCCTGGCGCTGTGCATACTCGGCTGCCAAGTTGTCCTTAGTTGCGTGGGTGGATGGCGAGTCCTTTCCAAGACGGCAGGGGCATTGGACAAGCAACCCTGAGATGACGAATCCAGGGTCTGGAAGCCGGAGGAACTTCAATCGTGAATCGGCCAGGGATACCACTGCGCCATCATCAGATAAAGAATCCTCCAGGGTCTGCAGCCTCCTGGGCACATTCCTCAATGAACGCCCCCACTGTTTTGTCGTCCCCGTGGCCTCGCGCACATTCGAATACAAAATCCACCATCTACATTCCTTTGAGAATTCCTCGACCTCTACGACCCGACGGATCATATCGATACGCTGTACATCAACTAACACGGATTGAGGGCGGCTCCGCTTTCGAAACGGGGCTCTCGAGCGGGACTTCCGCCAAGCATATCCTGGGCCTCCTTCAAGGGCTCTCGCGTGGGACTTCCGCGGAGCATACACCACGACTTGACATCCTCCAACGTTTAGACGGGTAAAGACCATGTGCTTCTCAAAATGGGGCTACCCTGGGCATCCTTCAAAAGGAGGGGTGATCCATCACCACAAGCGCCCTGGTCTGACAAGCGAACCGACAGGCCGCCCGTCATTCAAGGGGTGCACCCGCAGTTGAAAGTAAGACCTGAATGGAATTTTGAGGAGGGTTCTTAGGACAGGGGGGTGTATTGCAGCATCGGTTGGCCCATCTTGGGTTTACTCTGGTCTTCCTCCTCCTCCTCCTCCTCCTCCTCCTCCTCCTCCTCCTCCCCCTCTCCTTCTTCACTCCTCCCTTCATCCTGGGCTCACCCCGAGTCCACAGCGCCGACCGCCAGTGGCAGCCAGAAAAGGTCGACACGGAGCGCGCACGCGCGAAGCCCCTCGGCCTGCAGAGACCTCCGTTCTTCCCCCTCGCCCTCCTCGCCCCCTTCCTCCACCCTCCATCCTCCCGCCTCCCTCCTCCCAGGGGGAGGAGGGGGAGGAGGAGGAGGAGGAGGAGGAGGAGGAGGAGGAGGAGGAGGAGGAGGAGGAGGAGGAGGAGGAGACGCCGTCGAGCAGGGAGCGCACACCGCCCATACAGCATCCCGACCAGGGCTCCCGCGGCCCCTGGCGGTGGGGCGCGGAGGCCGGGTCGTGCCTGGAAGCGGGGGCGCCACCCCCAGACCCCCTCGAATCATGACACAAAAATCACGACGGAGGGTTTTTCGCTCGGCCTCTGGGGGCCCTCCCTGGGCCTCGGGGCCGTCGACAAAAAAACGACTCTGGACGAGACACCTGTCCCGGGGAAGGGGTGGAGACCTCTGCAGGTCGGCGGTGTAAGGAAGTCATGAAGTCGGGAGTATGCTTAGGTCGCGCGTGTCCTCTTACAGGGGGGGGGCTTCGGGCGAAGAATTGACAAGACTTAACAACAAGTGCTCAAAAAAACGTTCAAACATTATGAAATAATCGTCCCCATAATATGTTTCAACTATTTTGCATGTCCCTCCTGTAGAGGGACAAGCCCGACTTGAGAGTATGCCCCCCCCCGCTCCCGCCGCCCCCGGACACACAGCCGACCGAGATCCGCCCAGAGAGCGCCTGGAGCGCTGGGCCTTGCCCCTTCTCGCCCTGAAGAGGCAAGGCGGAAGGGAG